TTATGTACATGTAGTTCATTAAACCCAATACATTATGTACATGAAGTTCATTATACCCAATACATTATGTACATGTAGTTCATTAAACCCAATACATTATGTACATGTAGTTCATTAAACCCAATACATTATGTACATGAAGTTCATTAAACTCAATACATTATGTACATGTAGTTCATTAAACCCAATACATTATGTACATGTAGTTCATTAAACCCAATACATTATGTACATGAAGTTCATTAAACTCAATACATTATGTACATGAAGTTCATTATACCCAATACATTATGTACATGTAGTTCATTAAACCCAATACATTACGTACATGTAGTTCATTGAACCCAATACATTATGTACATGAAGTTCATTATACCCAATACATTATGTACATGTAGTTCATTAAACCCAATACATTACGTACATGTAGTTCATTGAACCCAATACATTATGTCAAGAGTGGATTATGTACATGTATCCATACCTGGTTGTTAGTGTCCTTGTTAATGGTTGAATATAGTCCAGTAGCACCAGTAGACAGACCCTGTTGACCCTTATTCTATTAATAATACATTATATGATCCATTTTTAAAAGACTCTCTCATTAATCACTGACCTCTCCCTCTCTCTTCAATACAGAGTATTCCTGTACTCCCTCAGGATTATAGGCAGGAGGGACAGGAGGAGGAGTATCATTGTCTTGATTGAGTGTTGAATAAAGTGGACCAGCTCCTTGTTGTTGTTGTTGTTGTTTATTCTTCTTCTATTATACATTATTAATATAAAGCATGTACTTAAGCACATTGCCTATCATGTCCTCTTGTCTATCATGTGCTAGTTCATTGTATCTTACAGTCAAACATATAATTCCCCTGTGTAGGCTGTTGTCAGCTTATTGTGTGTTATATGTATACACATATAGTTCATGTCATGACAGGTAGAGGAAGGTTAATGTTATTCTTGCTAATGTACACTAAATGATGACTGGATATACGTATTTGTAATAATAATTATAACAAATGCTGTTCCAATAGCTTCTAATATAATAGGAACAATACTTGATTCACTAGCGGTCACATACACTAAGCTAAATTTGTGTGTAGCGTTTGTACACTGCAGCCATTTTTTTGTTTATAAACTTTCCATGTACTAGCTCTTCCGTAAACTGCACCAGTGTCACTTTAATCGCAAATACAGTATATATATAAATAGAGAGTAATCTATACAATTTTTGAATGGTTAACTTATAAACTTAACCCTGTCTTAAACTATCAATACCGTATAGCAGGAAATTTTGGAGGGAATTAAATTTGGTGAATTTGGCATTTTGATAGCCATTCGCCAAAATAAAATGTGCTATTTTGAGCCATTATACGCATGCTCAATAGCACATGGCCACTAATTCACTAAATTAAAATCTGCAAATCACCAAAATTTAGCAATTCACCAAATTTTAGTCCCTCCAAAATTTCCCACTATACGGTACAAACAATTAAACATTTGACTCATTCTAAACAAGCAAGGATATACATGTAGTAGTAACAGTTAATTAATTGAAGTTAACTCCACATGTTGCAATTGTTCTAGTGACTTAGAGAGGCCCCCATGATGTTCCATTGAGTATTATGCTCGTGAATATCATTTGCATCTCATTACAATTGTCAATAATCATGTTTTACACAAATTTTTGAGTAACTTTAAAAATTCATAAAAAATCTAAGTTTGATTGGAATCAGCTCAAACTTGCTACA